ATGTTAATATTAGGGTTTAAATTGACATTTAAGTATTTAACTATACTTTAATTATTCCCCTTTTGGTCTATAACATTCTAAAAGAAACATTTATAATTTAAAGAAGAAATATTATATACATTCAAACAGTAGTACTCTTGGGATATTTAAACTTTTGAGGTTAAGTAAAACATTGAGGACTACTTTTTCAGTCAAAGATATTGGCCTAGGTTATTACTCCTAATCTATTAATTGCATTTACACATTTTAAGGTAAATGACTCTGGTTGTTTACACTTATCTCATGGTTGAAATTAAGCTAGCTTCAAGTATATATGTGATCTCAGATTGCTTACTGTAAAAGTTGAAAAAGCTAAAAACAGTGAGAAGTATTATGTATCATAATATTTGATTAGGTGGGGAGCACCTATGTTTGTTCTTCCGATTAAAGAGGGTGCCCCACTAAGTAGGTAATAATGAGGCTGGTTCATTTTGGGGTCATCAATGCTTTTTAACAAAACAAAAAGGATGGTTTTGATCAAAAGAGGGTGACTCTCAAATCATTGGAACATTATATTTCAAAGTTTGATCAAAAGTGGGGAAGATGATAGGATTACTCTACTTGGAAGAAAAGGATCCTTCCCTTTATGAATTAATTGTGATCAAATTAATGTGAAGTTTTCTCATTATGGTCAAATTAATGAATCTTAATGCAACAACAATCCAATGAGATGGTTTGCATGTTCCATAACATATTTTCAACAAAGCAGGTAATTATTACCCATTAACTAGGATTTACCACAAGTAAATATGAAGTAGTTTCACATTTAATTTGATTTGGATTTGGCAATTGCACAGCTTTAATTGTGAAAAGGGTCATTATTCCCATTTTTCTAAAAAGAGCAGAAAAAAAGTATTAGCAGTACTAGTGTGGAACAATGACCTGTAGTTGACAGCTCCACCTAGGGTTACCTATGTATGACCCAGTACTTGTTCATAGCTAGCTGAGAGCTCCTAATACAAAAGACAAATCTCATTAAACCTTGAGTTTTTATGATATTTGATTACCACAGTCCACAACCACAAATGGCATAACTCAATTTTTGAAGTGATGATATTTTGGTATTAACTTAAGCATTCATCATGGCCATTTAGTTTATTCATTCTTTAATAGCTTAACTCATCCAGACATCTATCTCCTGAATGTCTGGTGTACAATTTGCACTCATAAAATGATGTTTTTTTCTCTATAATTAAGGGAATCTTCAATATTATAAATAAGGAACTAATCCTTTTGGTATGTGTAATTGTACCTCCTAAAATGTTTTGTTATTTAGCCTGGATATATATATATAAAATGATTAACATTGTCCCATGTGTGGTAAAAATCTTAAGCTCACTTATAATGGGTGGACACAATTAACATTCGGATGTAAACACACTAAAATATGCTATTAGTTGCTTAATTTACCTCTTACTAGGCTTAGCCACCCTAAATCTCCAACAAAACAAACCTTTTTATTTATAATTAAAGCACTTTTGTTTAAAAGACACTAGTTTAAGCATCATGCCGACTCACTCCCACAACTATATATCTCATAAATAGTAAACCTAAATAATCCCCTTGAACATTGAATCCATGGGAGGACAATGTTGGTATTGCATCCTAGTTACATGCTCATTTAATTTTGAGAAAAAAATGTATATACTATCATTACATCATTTATTATTTATATTTTATTATCATTGATTTTTCACAAAAAAAGTAGTAAAATAAATAAACTACCTGTATATAAATTTTTACATTATCGGTGCATACATATTAAACTCATTAATTTGTTTGCTTTTACATGAGCTTCACCATTTCCATTGGGGAATGTGAGGAAAACAAAGAAACAGATAAGGGAATGTTGGATGGGTCCGAAACAGTTAAGGACAATGGATCCCACAAGTTGCAAAGCAAAGATTAGAGAGCCTTTGATTCTGATGCATATACGCATCTATGATCTCCATAAGTTACCAAACAAATTCACAGTCGCTTCTGACTCAAAAAGTTAGAATAAAAAGATTTTTGGGGAGGTGAAATTGTTGAAAAGAAGGACTAGCGTGCAACTTTATACAATAAATGTCGCCAGAAATAACATCTCTCTCTTTCTTTACTTTTCCATTTACAGTTCTCCACTACTGTTTTAGGGACTCACTCCCAAAACATTCCTCCTCCCTTTTCCTCGGGGAATGCTTAATTTAACCATTCAACTAATTCTCTCCTCCATATTTTCTCATCTAAGTGAAATCGGGTAAGTATTACTTATATTTATAAGTCAATAATAATTAAATATTAATAATCAATAATGCTAGGAGGATGTAGTATTAGAAGGATGTTAGGAGGATGTAGCACTGTTTATTTGGTAAACCTAGCTGAGAGATAATACAAGAGACTATGAGCTAGACATAAGCCATTCTAATATGCTTATCAAACTAGAGCTTATAATCTTGGGGTTTTTCTCTTTCTGAAAATAATAAGTATGTAACCCTATTAATTAGAAGAGGTTTCCATATAGATCTGAGTTTAAGTCTTGATTTGAAAAACCCCTTAAAGTAAAATATATATTATAATTTTTTGACCTATAAGTTTTTCTATATTATTTTATTATTTTTTAGTAGGTTATCAATTATGTTTATTAAACACGGTTATAGCATTAAGGGCTCGACTCATTTACACGTACTTTGTGGCATGAAACTATGATGAACATGAGATCTTATGTAATTAATAATATAGTTAATAAAATAGCCAAAATGTCACGAAATAAAATGATAAGAACAAAACAAATTTACCATCAAGCTTGTCATGCTGATATGTTATTTTAACCTAAAACTATATAAAAGTGTCAATTCTCTAAATTTATTTCCAAAATACCCAGGTCTAAAAAGTGCCATTTTTGTGTTGATCATAAATCTTGTATTTCTGTAGCTTGTGAAAAGATAATTGCTTGATCTCCCTTTTGTTTGGGTGAGCAACCCTTATCCTCATATTAATACATTTTTTTCTTACCAAAAAAAATACCGAGGTCTCTTACACTTTAATTGCTTATAATGTTAAAAAATAGTAAATAGAAAACTTAAGGTTACAAATAACACAACTTTATCCTAAAATCAAGATAAATCTCAACCGTTTATTTAACGGAATATTTTGAAGTTATTATTAAAAAAAGAGGAGGGATACACTTACTCAAGAGTAAGTGAAAAATGACTTACTCCACATCTTAACCATTCAATCTTGAAAAATCCAATGGTTTGAATTGGTAAATACATCTAAACCATTGGATTTTCTAAGATTGAATGGTTAAGATTTGGAGTAAGTCATTTTTCACTTACTCTTGGAGTAAGTGGATCTCTCCCCTTAAGAAAATACATATACAATATAAAAGAATGCTTAATATACCAAAGATTAAAAATATGCCTTTTAAGTTTTTAAATATTAGAGTGTTTAATAAAGTGTATTAATGTTTGTTAACTAAATATAATACTTTAGGCGCTCCTGAATTAGACTTTTTTATTGAGAAAAAAATTGTATTCTATTTAGACGAGGTTATTGATTTGTGATAAAATATTATAATGTAGTTCGATTCATGTAACTGACCCCACATAATAAGATAAAAACCACACAAAGTTGATTTTTTTCTAAGCAAAGAATATTGTTGATGAAGTACAAGGGATTCTTACCCACATGTAATTAATGGACTAAGAACAATAATTATGAATAAGACAAAATGTGAGACAAAAATCCATACGTCATTGTGCAATAACAAAAGAATGAGAACCAACACTAGATCATATATACTTGTATAACTTCATGAATCGGTTAATTAAGCTCATGCCAACTCAAAGAGGAATGAGTATACAAGTATATAGATAATTATATAGAATACGGTCATGACATGGGTGAAAGAGTTTCAAAGTTATTCTGTTCTTGTAAGACTCATGGTTGCATGTTTGGAATCGATTCACATGTCTTGGTAGAATTTAATGTTAGTATTACTTTATTGTAGAAGAAAATAATATTTTGATGCCATCAAATAATATATAACTTACTTGTTTCTCATATAACATTATCATATATAAAGATAAAAAAGAAATAGGAGGAGGAGGAGGCTTTTGTTGCTGAAATCAAAGAGAGTGATTAAAGTGGATGATGGTAGAAAAGCAAAGAAAGGGTAAAGTGACGAAAGTGAGTTACTTTCTTTCTCAATCCATCTTTCTATATTGCATGCAAATCGATGACAAGCTATTCCCATCATTACTGCCACTCCCTCTCTTCTTTGTATTCACTAATCCCAATAAAAATAATATCACGGATCTCTTTCTCTTTTGATTTATCAATTAGTAAATAATGGACACATTATATTCCATTAGCTAAAGAAATATCAGCAATGTGGTCATATTTTTAATATGAAAATTTGTCTAGAAATAAGATTTTAAAGAGTGATTTCATAGACAATGATCACCCGTTTCACTTCCTGTCTCATTTAATGTATTTGACCAATCACAGTAATGCTACATGAATAAAATAAAAAATAACAAAAAATATAGTTTTTATTGATCTAGGATAGGAAATGAAACAGAGTATGAGATAAGTAATCTGTGTCCTTATTTGATGGAGAGATACACACAAGCTAGATGGTTGAACAATTCTCTATAGAGAGATCCAATGGCACCTAATGTATTAATATTTGAAGGAATGTATCAAATAACATGAGGATGTAGCTCAAATGTACCAAATAACATGGGGATGTAGCTCAAATGGTAGAGCGCTCGCTTTGCATGCGAGAGGTACAGGGTTCGATCCCCTGCATCTCCATTTTTTCTTCATATGGGTGTGTGTCTTCTGAATTGCTTGTTTTTTGGTACATTTTCTTTTACTCTCTTCATTCATAATTTCATATGCTCTTGCATCACAGATTATCTTTTCACTACTATATACTTTCTGCACTGAAACTAAAATCTAATGATCTCTACTTCTTAACTATTTTAATATTAATAAAATTCTTACCTTTTAAATGTTCTTCTGTGTTTAGGTGCTTGAGTTTATGAGCATCATCATTCATGAATCACTTCCATACTTTCTTTATATCTTTAAGGTTGTGAGAGACACCGAAACCATATCACTACCACAACCACAATTGTAGCTGAATTTGCATGTGATTGTTTAAAACGTCATATTTTTGGTAATTTTCAAAATGACACAGTAACCACTATACAAAACATTGGCCTTGAATAATTATATGTACGGGTTGCAGTATTAATCAGATAATTGTGATGTACAAAAAGCTGTCTCTGGCTTCTTCCCTCATAACCTGATTGATAGACAAAATGGCAGATTATGAGAAGTATAACAAAACAAAGCCTAGCCATGCTATGCTATATAAGGTACCAAAATAGCTCAGAGGCTAATCAAAACAAACAAACTCTGCTGGGTTGAAAATAAACATTTCAAAAACACTGTGAAGTTTATCAGAAAATAATGCATTATTTGTGCCCACATGCATAAAGCTAGTTTTTTATACACCCGTAGCACTGTTTTGCTCTTCCTGCATGTGTATACACAATGTACGTTAGTCTCCATTACCTCTCCCATATGGTAATTAAGCGTGCCACTGAGTACAAACACGGTTTACATTTTTTCAACAGTTACCATTTTCAGAATTATATATATATCTCAGGTTAAAAGCTTCCTACAATTATATGATGTTTTGTAATAATTGAACAAAAGAAGTTTGTAACACATGCAGTTTTGTGTTCTGATTTTACCATAGCTTTGGTGAATTGTTCAAAGGTTTTATCTACATTAGTTTTGGATGGTTACCCGTGACCACATTTCATGTTTTATACATTAATTGTCTTTTGGTCTGAAATCTTTGTATCTGAATATTTTACTTCAAGTAATTAACTAATTCAACTCATTTATGGGATAAAAAGCTATGTTATAGTATATTCTTTTCTTTCACTCATGTATTAATTTCTGCATGTATGGGTCTCTTTGTGATCATCTTAAAATTGGAATTTTAGAAAAAGAGAAAGTTCTTTCTCATGCATGATATAGCAATGATGAGATTGAGCAATTGTAGATAAGTAGAGATGATAATATTCAATATAGGTATTTAGTTAATTAATGATATTACTTAAAAAACAATCTAATAATATTCATCATGCCCAATTCCAGACCAAGTTATTTTCTCCAAATTCATCCAATGAACACCTCAACTTTCTAAAATTTAGGCAATCAACTACTTTGCATATTTTTAAGGTGGTTTTTCTTAATATATATATTTTTTGTTCTAATCAAAGATATCCTCTCACCTCGTGAGTAATGAATTAGTTCCTTTTAGAGTGTAAACATGATTATCTCTCCCAACAAGTGACATTCTCAGGAATCAAACTTTTGATCTTTGACATAGTACAATACTTAAGAATCTAATGATACATTACCTACTAGACCAACACCTTGTTGATACATTTTTGTTATACAGGAAATCATCATTTCATGTGCCAAGTGTAAATGTCAGGAATTTCCATCTTCCTTTCATCTCAATCCAAAAATGTGAAAGGAAAGTAAGTAGGGCAGGGAGAAGAATAATAATGCTAGACTGTAAAATGTTGGAGGGGGATAAGAATGAAATCACTGAAGATTCAGTGAATTATTCATTTAAATTCAGTATCATAGGTGCAGCAGTAGAGAATAAGAATATATAAGCAATTATACAAATGAATTTCTGGAATTATTTGATGTCACAGAAACAACACTGAAGCTTGTCACATTCAACAGAGATGGTTGGGAGTGACATGGACAACAATTGAGAGTTGATGTAGTTTTCAATCTGTCTTTCCTTTTTGTCCATTTCAACTCAATCATGTTGCTGCACACAGCTTTATACATTTGATTTTACCATAAAAAAACAAACTTAGCTTTGAAAGATAAGTTTATAAAACAAAATGTATTCTTACCATTGAATTGACTTTTTTGTTTTCTCATTTGGCATCTAATACCTTATACATATAATTGTTTTTTTTTGTTAATGAATATATTTAATACTATTATTTATAAAGGTTATTACCATTCATTCGAATTTTATTGATATGAATGAGTTTATATACTAAATATGGATCTTAGGTAAATCAAGTGTAGAACTATAAATAAATTAAATATTTTGTTCATGGATTTAATTTGTGAGGGTCGTTTGAATCTTACAAAAATTAATTTAGCTAGCATATTACTAATTACCCATTTAAGCAATTCTATTTAATTATATTGTACCCATCAAATTAAAACTTTTCCATTAAAATTCTTCTCAAAATCTTTAATTGTAGTTCCTATTCTTTCAATCATGATGTAGGCAATAATTGACAAGAAGTGAAAAAATGACATCACACTAGAACTTTAGATTCTTATTAATGGTCCCCCCCCTTTTCTTACAAAATAGGTTAGGTGTAAAAGGAACTCAATTTTTTCATACTTGGTGATTTATTAACAAAATGTGTAAAGCTTGAGGGAAAACCCCAAATGTTGAGAAGACAATTTCATTAATCATCACCTCTTGGAGTTTTGCTCTTGTTATTTCAAAGTCCAATCCATCTACTGACACTATATCAGATTTCACATTTAACAACGGTTATTCAACAGCGCTTTCTAGCAAAACGCTGTTAAATACAAGTTGAAAGATAATCAACAACGTTCCTTTTGTAATTGCTCATGAAATATTGAACTACTAGCTAAAATGACTTGGTAATTAATCATAATGATAATAGCACAGAAAAGAGTATTTCATGGTATTTTTTTTATAAATTTTCAATAATTACATTATCATACCAAATTTCTTGCAAAATTGAAGAGTGGTTAGCTTAAACTGAAAATCTGATTTTGGAAAAGGGAATTGAATGGTTATGGGCCTGATCAACTTACAGCACTTTGATGTACACAACATGGTAACTTTGAGGCAGAAAAGCTTAAAAGTCTCAAAATTACACTTAAGAATAAAAAGTTGTTAGTGTTCAGACTACACACTATTATACGGAATAGTCAAAAAGCTTCTCTCAACTTTTTTGGGAGCCTCGCCTTTACTCCATCATAGATCATTAGATTGAGAATCAAATAAAAAACTTTTTTCCTTATATTCCTTTTGATGTCTTTAATGAATCCAGCTTAATTCTCTTTCCTCTTTCCTTCTTTTCAACCACATGCATAAATGCAAAACATTAAATAATTCAAAGCGAGACATAAGAGATAGATGAATGCTAAATGCTAAATTTAATTATTTTTTTGAATGTTAGATTCCATCTTTTATATTCTTTAAATAATCTTCTTACAATATTTGTTAACAGAAAACAGATGATAAGTTTCAGTGTCATAGATTTGAGTGTTGATACCCCAGAGAATGCATGCATAGTGACGTTGTGTAACACAAATTAGTCATTTAATTGAGAATATAGAGAACAGATAATTAAGAGAATATAAGGTCTGACTTGGTGAGCATGGGAAAAACCAAAGGGAATGAAGCCAGTTTCAATTGTCTGTTAAATTTTTTTCCTAATGTCTGAGACAACAAACAGACAAAAATCCTTTGAAGTTTGAAGAAAACGCATGCTATATCAAGCTGACACAACATGACCCCTCTTTCTCTCTCTCATGGCTCTCCTTTTCAAGTTTATATTACCCCTAGCATAACATGGATTCTCTTTGCCAGTGCAAAAACTGTCACTTCTTTCAAGAGATAGTACAAGATTCTACTTTCATACTTTTTGCTCCTCTCATCATCTTTATAATGCACATTCTTGAATGAAGAGTTAAATATCATGCTCTATACCTTTCTACTTGCATGGAAATTCTAAGAAAAAAAGGGAATGAATGATCCTTTACTTTCATTATAATTAATTGTTCTTAAGCTTTTTTCCCTTTAAAAAAGACTCCACCACCACTCTTGGTGTAATTATTACAACTGAGTTGGTGGGGATGCATGTGTTTATGCTTTTTTGGTAGGAATTTCTCTTTGCTTGAACTTCTTAATCTCCTCTTTCATGTTATATTATTATCTTTTGTGCCCCCACTTTCTCACACTTCGATAGTGGCAATAATTGAAAATTCTACTGTTACTTTTGGAGACTGATAACTTTTTTACTCCTTACAAACAGGTCTAACACAGTGCCATACCCATATTATCCTCATTGGTTGACTCATTTGAGAAATGTATGAGAATAATTATCATTAGGCCTATTTAGAACAACAGAAAAAAGGACCATTTGAAACTTCTGTGGGCTATTTCCACCGGCAGATAAATGTTCAGGCCCGAATAGGCCTGATAAAATAGCCCATGGACAACAAACAAAATAGTAAGCTGAAATTAGCCTCATGCTTTATTCAACAGTACTGCCACTATCATTTCCTTAGGCAGTGATGCTTCAAGGCCCAAGTTACTTCTCAAGAGTGTTACAGGAAGTTTCAACAAAAGTTACAACTCAACCACAACCAATCTTGAATTAGAATAGCCATAAATCTGAACATTCCATAACTACATAACTTAATCTATAGTTGCATCATATTCCTATAAATGGTCAGTAATCTGATACACACCAGGATTTACAAGTGTGCCAAAAAATGATTAAAAAAATAATTACAGTAGTTTCTATTTCTAATATGCATATAAACAAACATTTATCCTATTACTATACAAAGAAATAAACCTTCCAAGTATTCTCCACCATATTTACATGTAAACCTTCCAAGTATTCTCCACCATATTTACAAGTTGTCACACATACGACCATTAATAAAAATGGTGGATGATTCTCAAGCAAAGACTACAATAAATGCTGTCATGCAGGGACCAAGTTGAAGTCCTAGATCTAAGTTGAGACTATGAAAAGGAACTCAAATATCTCCAGGGTTTGCTTACCATAATCTTAAAGCAACAACCCTTTGATTACTTGTAGTCCAATCTACCTTCTTTTCTACCATGCAAATGACGTGGAAATTTCTCTTCTTGGTCACCCTTCAATCCCTCATGATGATCATTTCTACTCACAATTTTTAAAGGGTGGGCTTCTGTGTTGAACACCCATTCATCAAGAGAGATGATTGATGGAGGTGAAAACATGAGATAGAGGTACTTGAGTGTTTCTGCAAGGAAGAAGCTCTGCATCATATTATCTTTTTCACCAGTAGTTACCTGAGTATTTAGCCATAGTTTGGTTATGTTCTATAGTGCATAAGTTAGAAAAAGGCAATTGCTTCATTGAATAAATCATCCTCTTTGGAATGCATGAGAAAATCTTCCTCATAAAGAAAGAGAATAGAAGAAAAAAGGGTTATCCAATCAGCTCTTGATTGAACATATATTACTTATCATCATCTCATACCACCAGTTTCTGCAGGGTTTTCCTCTCATGGAGATTATAGAACATTTTGGCAATGCAGTTAATTATGCGAAACAAGTTCACAAGAAAAATGAATGCTTCATAAATGCATGCAGCTTTTCCATGAATAAGAGAACAAATTGCTTTGGAGAAAACATTGAAGGGGTTTGAGAAGTTTTTACATCTCTGAGTCCAACATATCCTGCCTCAGTCCGAGAGTTGTTTTCAAATGCTTGGAAAATATCCCAACCCCAATCCTGGTATGTCTTGTT